GCAAGACCTCGCCGTGCCTAGGGGGCTGCGATCTGCGAAACCGTCGCCACTTTCGATGGCTGCTGGTGGGTCCATCGGAGTGAGGCACCGCGCGGATCTGAGCAAGACCTCGCCGCTCTTGGGGGCTGCGATCTGCGAAACCGTCGCCACTTTCGAGGGCTGCTGGTGGGTCCAGCGGAGTGAGGCACCGCGCGGATCTGAGCAAGACCTCGCCGTGCCTGGGGGGCTGCGATCTGCGAAACTGTCGCTACTTTCAAAGGCTGCTGGCGGGTCCAGCGGAGTGAGGCACCACGCAGATCTGAGCGGGACCTCGCAATCCTTGAAGAGCTGCGAGCCTATTGAATGCCGCTGGCAGAAATATATGAGCCCATGTCACGTCATCACTTCCGTATAACGTCTCCCAAGCTACTCATGCCCCGCTTTGCGCAGGGGTTGGGTACGTCGCCGTTTTTTTGTATAAAGAACATCTGTGTGGCAGCCAAAAATTTACAGGCGAGTTGACTGGTGCAAGTGGAAAAAGATCCTCTTGGCCATCTCTGCCATGCCCAGTGGGACACCACGGTGCCCTAGTCAATATAATGCCGCTCATGTGATTCAGCTACCAGGCTTCAGAAAAGGCAATGCCCGGTTTGCGTGCGAGGACCGATGGTTGCGCACATGTTAGCAATTACACCCTGCATTGCATTGGGATTGTCTTGCGACACTGGTCGGCCATGCTTCGTGGGAGCTCTGGACCTCTGCACCGTGAAGCCTGATAGCATCTCGTGGACCGCCTGCGTTCCATCTGCGGTGCCGTGACTTCCGTGTGGGCTGGTATGCGTTAAATGACACGTTGACGCGATACTCAAAGCGAACGTGGCGCTACTTCCGTAATCCTTGATTTGTTGGAGAGTCCGACATATTCCGATTGCGAGGCGCAAGTTACGTGCCAAAGCACATTTTTGTATCAAAATGTTTCTGTATCAACACAAATACTGGTTGGGACGCTTTGGTTCTTTGAACGGCGTGGGCGAATGCATACAGAGGCTGGGCTTACTCGTCGAAGGTCTCACGCCTATGGTCGCCTTACCCCCAGATGCCAGACGCCGATACATTAACCAGCTCTCTCTTGGTAAGTGTTATTCATATCGGGCGATGTCAATCCGTACGGCCCAGTACACGGTGGGTCATTGGCTTCGTCCATTGGTGGCGTTAGCATTGCTTTGCACTGGCAGCTCATCGACGCAGCACTGTGGCGAGGGCGCAGGTCCGCTCTCGCCACCGGCTGATGGTGAGCGGTTGTCTGTCCGGATGTCCATCTATACTCCAAATCTCTTATTAATCGACCCCCGCCCTAAAAAAAATGACCCCCTTTTAAATGCGACCTAATATTCTGGACCCCCCCTTCGACGGGGTGCCTTGATAAAACCGGACCTCCTAAGCTCCAATCCAAAGGAAGCGCCCTAATAAATTTGACCCCCCCAGTTACAAAAAAGGCGCCTTAAAAGACCGGACCCAGGGGACGATTAATAAGGGATTTGGAGTACGGTGTGCATTCCATTGCCGAAGAGAAAGGGGCAGCGATTGAAGCGGCCCTCATACCAATGCGTCTTCTGGATACTAATAATTTAGAGAGGGAAGACGCTTGGAGTTGCTTGTCCTTCGCGTTGCAAGCATCAACGTGACACGGCTACAAGGCGCACGGGACGTTGCGCACTTGGGTTAACGTCGATGTCAATGTCGATGGCAACGCACGTGCCGTTCGGCGACCAGTCTTTGGACTTGTTCCTTCGGCAGGGTGCAGTGAGAGCTCGACACTATCATGGCGTTGCTGCTTCGGTGCAGCGGCTCCGTGGGATCCTGGCGCTACTACAGCAGCCATGTGCGCATTATTATTGGAAGCTCCGAAGTTCCCTAGGGTAGCAAGTTGTGCACTTATGATTCAAATGGTCTATATTCCGCTATGCTTCGACTCATCAATTAGAGGTGCATTGGGGTAGACAGGCTTACTATAGATATGGTAAACTAAATGTTGTGTTCGATGCCTTTACCCGGCTTGCTTTGATGCCCAATTACCACGCAAGGATTACAGGCTAAGGTTCATTCAGCACCTACGCGGTGTCTATAGGCATCGACCATCTCCTCAAGCGTGTTTGCTTCAAGGTGCCGCATGGTACCTGCCGTCCGCTGGTGCGAAGAATGGCTTACTACTTATATTGATGCAGTTCGGCCTGTCTGGCCCTTGTTCGCAATTTCCCTGAGCAGGCGCTGCGTATGATTGAGGAGGTCCAGATGCCTCGTCGCAAACAAATCATGGATATTCAGAGTTTGTGGCACGGCTTTGAATTTGACGACTTATCAGTATTGCGAAGAAATGGTTTGAAATCGTCTGCATGTGCCAGTCTGGATTTGGTTCGCTTCCGCGTATATAACTAATTTTCACGCTACGCATCTTTGTGGACAAGCTGAGTCGCGAGATGGGGTACGGTGCTCGTAGTTGCCCTCGAGGTCCGTAGCGACGAGGACAGACAGGTCCCGAAATACACGTGACGCCCTACCTTTCAATGGATGGCTCGCATGGCTTGCAACAGCGGATGACGAGGTCGCTATCACATGTGAGACAGGGGCTCATCCCTTGTCTGCCTTCAGCTCACGTTCTTTCGTTGGTTGAATATCTTTGAGCAGGCCATCCGTTGGGGGATACAGGCACTTGATATGAACATGTACGTAAAGGTTGTCGCGCCTGCTTCGGCGATTGTCTTCCCCTGTTTTCTGCATTCTGGAGACACTCGATTGTCACGTGACATATTGCCGTTGGCACACCCTACAGTCACAAGGAAATGCTATCCCGCTCCTCCGCGCGTTACATTATTCGGCAAACCTTACCCTGTCCGGGCTATCTCCAGGTGCACCGATGCACAGCACAGGTGCATACGCAACGCCGTGTGTTTCCTTTGAAGCATCTGTGCAGCATGATCCTTATTAGCTGGCGTGTCACCAGTCTTGCTAACGCTGGCTCAGGGATTCAGGGCAAAGGTTCCGCTCTCCAGCCTCCTCCGCCAGACGGGCGTTGCCTCGGGTGTGGGTCTGAAGTTCGGGGTCGTAATTTGGAAGCCTTTGATTCCGTTCACCGTGACCTCGATTTCTTGTTGCGGCGCGCTGTCGACCTTTTGAGTTGGGCATTCTGCAGGTGTTCAAAGCAGCTAGTGCCATTGTCTCGGCCACGCGCTCTTTGCACAGGGGGTGCTCCGACCGGACAGTCATCGTTACCAACAGCATTCGCCGATGTGTGAGTGAGCACTTGCGTGTTCGTATTTACAGGCCGGGGGACCGATGATTTGTGCAGAAGTTTGGCGTGCCTATTGGTGGTTTTCTTTCCAGCAGCCTCTTAGAGTTGGTTCGGACCGCCGCGGAGACAACATTTGACGGTTGCGAGTGGCCCAGGTGGTGCCAACAGCGCGGGTTCAACCTTTCTCGTTCTCTCCGCACTTGGCCTGTTCACGAAATGACGACGACCTTCTTGTATGTTCTTGCCCCATATTTGGAGATTCGCAGCGTTGTTCATTGCACTGGTGCTCGGAGGGCGTCCTTCGAAGATAACGTCGGCCATGAGGTTCTGAGCGCAGCCGTCTCCACCAACAAATTCCTCGATATGGTCAGTTCTCTGAAGATGGCGTCGGTGTGGCCTTCCATCATACCGATCTGGATTATTTGATTTTCTTCTAAACAAAATCGTCTGCATGCCTTACTAGATAGCGTGTTCCTCCCCCCACCGGCCTTGATGGAGAAGTTACGGAGAAGCTTGCCATGAATTTCATGTCAACCTGGGCCAGATGGGACAAGTTGCAATTGTCCCCCAGACAGCTGGTCCAATTAGCTGCTCTGGATTTTTCGGAATTGCACATCTGTGGGTTTCGTGGTGGCGTTGCACTCGACGCCGGGCACGAAAGGCGAGGCCATGAGACAGGTTTCGCCTTGGGGTTTGCCGTGCTGCACAAGATCTTGCCTCGCTTTCCTTGTCACAAATGCGAGAAGTGTGGCAGGTCCAGCAGGGCACTCTTGATGCCCTCCTCTGCATGTCCCATGTCGACCTGGATTCTTTCCCATGCCGGGCAGCGCCCACCCCAGAGCGTAGACGACAGGTTTCTCCCATCCTCCTGGATGAGGAGTTCGTTTCCGTATGTGTGTGTATTCTTCCGTCCATTGCCCCGCACACAACCATGCTGTTTACGATTCTCTACTGGGCGTGTCATGGACCCAAAACCTTTTGACCTTGAGAGGGCTTGCGGTCAAGACCCTGCAGAGCGGAAGCATAGAGTTGGAATTGAATGATGTTGACGTTTTCCGTTGTCAGTTTGGCACAAGTTCTATTTCTCTTGTGACTGCGCCCCCGTATCTTACGACTTTATTTGAAGATGAGCGAAGGAGTCCTTAACCCGTGGTGTCCAAAGAACTGGAGACACCACCAGTCCTAAGTCTGGACCCTTCGTGCTGTTGTGTGTCACTTCCTTGTATACGAAGGCGCCGCACTGGTGAAGAACATCGTGGATATTCAAAGGTTGACGCCATAATGCAACACAGACACACGCACACACATTCTTACTCCCAGGGCTCTGGACATAGATGGGCACATCTGGACATTCACACACATACATATATATGATTAAACTATGGCGTCGACGCGTGCAACTATACAAGCTCTGTTCTATGTGGGCGCATCTTGGGACGTACGTGTCAGAAGTAGTCTTCGGTAGCGTTTTCCTTGAACCAATCGGACAGGCTATAATCGGTCTGAGCTCATATCTGCGTGGGGGCAGAAACTTTGACAGGTGTGCGTGTGTGTCGCTCTCTCACCCTACGGCCCTCCCTCCCACCCATCCTGTCTGCCTGCCTGCCTTCCTCCCTCTCTCTCTCTCGCGCTCTTTCTTTGTCTATTCCTCTTCTCTATGTATGTATTTATGTCTTTCTGTTTTTTTGTTTTCTCTCTCTCTCTCTCTCGGCATTCCCCTCCCGCCGCGCAGGCGGCGGTGTCCTCGATCATGGACCTGAGCCCAGACGTCACCTGCGTCAGCCTGGAGGCACGCTGCCGACCGCGGGCGCCTCGTCGCCGCCGTGGTCGGCGCGAGCAGCGCGGGGCACCGCCCGTGGCCAGCCACACGGCGGACAGCCCTTTCTTCGCGGTGCCCCCTCGGCGGACCCCATCTGTCCTCAGAGCTGGTGCCTCCTCTCGTGCCCGACGCGGCTTCGGTGCGGCCTCCGCGCGCATGCGAGGTGGATTCGACGCGGAATCGACGCGGATTCGGCGCGGGTCCGATGGGTCCGATATGGACTCGACGCGGGCTCGTCGCGGGGAGGGGCGCGACGGGACAGAAGGTCCCCCGAAGGTGCAGCATCACAGCAGCGGCGGCGGCTCCCCTTTCTCCTCCCACCACCCCCCTCCGGCGGGGGCGGGATAGGCGACCGTGGGGTCGTTGTGGCCGCGTGCGGCGGGTGCTCGGCGGTGCTGGCTGGAGAGAGAGAGAGAGAGAGAGAGAGAGAGACCGAGAGAGGAAGTCGCGACGGAGTGTTGCTCGGTAGTGCTCGGCCTCCCGGGGCCCTTGCCTCTTCAAGGGCAGCGTTACGGGGGGGACATCACACGGCGCCTGGCCCCTGTCGGCGGAACAGGTGCGTGACCGAAGAAGATGTGCCCGAAAACGTGCCCGAAATTGTGACCGAACACATCGTGACCATAATGAAAGTATTGACGCTTCGCGTATCCCCACCAGGTTTCCCGAACGTTGCCCCGTTTCTTGACATTCGTCCTGGAGCCGCCGACCAAAAAAAGTATCCCCACCAGCGACGCTGTGTTTGCTCCCTGTCATCCGCCTTGGAGCCGCGAACCAAAAAAGTATCCCCACCAGCCCTAGCAGCTAATTAGGTCTGTTCCCGTGCCCCGGACAGCTTCTGTCTCCGCCTGCGCTTTCGCTTGCGGACGCGACCGAAAAAGTATCCCCACCAGCTTTGGCATTGCCGACCGAGCCGGCAAGCAGGTTGCCAACGACGCGTATCGGAACAGTTTCCTGGGGCACTACTCACGGCATCGCGCTATAGCTACCATAGGCGGCGACTTCCTTGATCCCGACGGCTTTGGGAGATCTTTGGCGCTCGAACCCCTCGCGGGGCGCCCCGTCCAGACCCAGGGGAGGGGGTGGGGGGAGGGGTCGAGGCCCCCCCCCCCGAGACCGCAAGCCGTCTCGTTCATTCCCACCCGCCCTTCCAGCACATAAGTAGCACCCGAGTCTCAACACATCGCATAGGAGCACCACGCATGCCATGTGCGCCACGAGTTTGGGTGCGCCATGCACCCTGGGGGCTCAAATGTGCGAGGCGCGGCATGTGCGGCATGTGCTCCACGAGAGGGCTGGAATGCTGCTGGCATGCGCAATCTTGAGGACGACGAGCCTGGCATCGACGAGTGCTGTTCTGATGATGGCCCTGCAACCCCCGAGCGGTGGTGCCACGCAGACATGGCGAAATAGGACCCCGCGTTGTCTGCGCAGCGGGGCCGCGAGGTGCTTCTCTCAACTACACCAGAACAAATATTTACCCACCACACAGCAAACGGAAGGCCGACCGATATTCGAAGTCTGTATGTTTATTTGGCTGGGACGGTTGGCTTGCGCGCATCCAGCAAAATACCGGCACCCCCGCCATACCTATCAAAAACCAATGCAGGGTGGTCGGGGGGCGCCCGCCGAATGGTCGCGGGTCGCCCGCGCATGCTCCGGATTTGGAGGCGAAATGCATTATGCAACGTGTTTTTGGCAGGGACGGTCGGTTTGCGCGCAACTTGAGCGTAATATGCAGCATGCTGGCATCAAACACCAATGCAGAGCGGTCGCGGGGCGCCCGCGCGCGATCGAGATGTGGAGGCATCCTGTGATGTTTTCGGAAAGGGATGGTGGGGGTTGGGTGGCATTTCCCGGGTTGGCCCACAGTCGGGCGTGGGAGGGAATGTTTATCAAGTGTTCTTGCTTCGCGTATCCCCACCAGCCCATCCCCAAACAGCAAATATTACGACGAACGCCGACGGTCGTGACTTTCGGGTGTGTCTCCTCCTGCTCTCGCGTATCTCCTCCTCTTTCGCCCACCTGCCATCAGCTTCTGTTATACATTCTTTTGGGGGCAGTGGGAGGAGGACGAGGCGGAGCAGGAGGAAAAGAAGGCGGTGTGCGGAGAGATGGAGATACCGACGACCAGGAGGACGGAAGACGACGACGACGACGAAGTCAACCATGAAGGCGTTTCTGGGTTTGCCGCTCGTGGGGGTTATGTTGCAGGTCTCTGGGCCCTGCTGGGGTCCTCGTGGTGCCCCTCGGGGCACCCTAGGGGCTCTTTTGGGTGGTCACGGCGCCCTCTTGGGGCTCATTGGGGGGGGTCTGGGAGGTCTCTTGGGACCAGCTTGGAGGCCGCGGCTCAAAAAGGAGCGCGGCGTCAATTGCGGCCCCCCTTGGGGACCCGAGAAGTCGCTTCATGGGGCCCTCTTGGGCCGCTCTTGGGCGCTCTTGAGGCCGTGTTGAACCTCTCTGGGGCCTGTTTTGGGGCTCTTTTGGGCAATTTTCGGGCCATCTTGAAAACCTCCAGGGCCCAGTGAAAGCGAAAAGGCGAGAAGGCCCAAAACATTGATGTTCCTTATGTTTTTGAAGGATTCGGGCTTCTCGGGGGCGTCCTTGGGAGTCTCCGTGGCCACTTGGGGCCGTCTTGCGGTGGTCTCGGAGCCTCGTGTAGGTTTGTTAGGAGCTATCTTGAGTCTAGAGCGAGCTTGGAGGTCATCTTGAGCTCTCTTGGGTTGTCTTGGCGCCATCTTAGGCCAAAACAGACGCTCCGACGACCCGCGCCCCCCCCTCGAGGCCCAGAAGGGGGGGTACGGGGAGGGGTAAACCCCTCCCCGAAGGGGAAGAAGGGGGTGGAACAGAACGGACTCTCTAAACCACTTCCGCCCAGAGGGCTGGTGGGGTAGTGAGCAGCGATGAACCCCTGCCCAAATCAGGGGAAGGAATGGTTTCGGCAAGGAGAAGGAAAAACTCGTTGAACCACCTACGCCCAGAGGGGTGGTGGGATTCGCTTTGGTGTCGCACCCTGGCGCGTTCGGCAAACAATCGGGCGCCTGATCAGGGGTCGCGGCGCACGTAAAGGAGGTCAGCGCTAACGGTGGTCAGCCAATTATCCGGTCTCCTTTGGCTGACCCGGGTTTGTGAGGCACGTGGAGCCGACCACGCCACCCCTCCCTCCGCTGACCCGGGTGTGGGAATTACTGGAAAGTTGGCCGGGCTTCGCGATAGGGCCCTGGCCGAGCTGGGCTTGTGCTGAACCAGGTTACTGCTTCCCCGAAGGGGCAACCTTACGGTTGGATAGGTTCAGGAGAGGCCGCGTCCAGCCCGCATCGCCTACTCATCGCCGATAGGGGGCCCGACAGCCCACCCCGTCCACCCGGGATCGTGCGGACTCGGTATCGGGGGCCTCGCGCCGATCTATCAGGGATTCCACGACGGTGTTTCGCTTCCCCCTGAGCAACCCGCCCCCGAACGCTGCCTCTCGTGACCTGGCCCCGCGGCCGTCAAACGATGATCTATAGAACGGCAAGCCAGTTCCCTGGCATGGGGGTAATAGACTTCTGGGGAGCAGCGCAGCGGAAAAATACGAAAACGCGGCATCGGATGCCGGTGGAGCAGGGCGGAGCGGGACGCAGCGAGCCAAACGGGCGACGGATGTGGGCACCCACCGGTTTTCGCCAGCCATGCCCGAGCACCCAGGCCGACCCTGGGCCATGCCCAGATACAGCTGCGTGGCGGCCCTCGGCAAAAGGCTCGTTGGGGATCGGGTGCGAGCCCACCGCGCGAGGGCTGCCCCGGAGGCATCGAGGGGCGAGCACGTGGCTCCGCCCGACGCGACAGCGCGCTTGGCGCACCGACGGGCGGCAACAGGGCCTGGCTTGGGCGGCACACTGGAAAGGGGGTCCGCGCTCGGGGCCTCGCTGGCTCTCCTCCAGTTTCAGCAGGAGTCAGCGCGAGGAGGAGGAGGAGGATGAGGATGAGGATGAGGATGAGGAGGAAGTTGAGGAGGAGGAGGAGGAGGTGGACCACGACGATGACGATGACGACGAGGATCGGGAAGCGCCGACTCTCCAACTCCAACTCCTCCTCCTCCTCCTCCCGCTCTTCCTCAACCCCTCTTCCTCATAACTAACGCCTCCCTGTCGCACCCCAAGACGTGTCGGTAGGGCGGGCCGGGCGTTTCGCCTGATACACCCTGACCGTTGATGATCCTCAAGCTTGAAATTTGCAACCGTTTCCCGGATGGAGGGCGGTTGGTGTTCAACATGTGGTTTGCCGTATCGCCGTGCACATCCGTTTCAAAAGTTTGCAACAGTTTCACCAATGGAGTGCACATTCGTCTTAAACGTTTGCAGCAGTTTCACGGGTGGATGGCGTTTCCTCTTCAGAATATGTTCATCGCATCAGCGCGGCGCACATTCGTGTAGTCATAAAGTGTACCAGGTTTTTGCGCGATTCGTATGGTCGAAGTCCCAGGAATGGTGTTCTGGCACGGTTGAGGACTGCCAGGACGGAACAGTCACATTCATTCGCGGCATTCATGTCCCAAGAACGGTTTTGCGGCACGACTTAGAATTGTCAGGGCGCAACAGTCATGATCTGGTGCCTCAACCGCAGGACAAAGGTTTCGGTATGATTCATATGATCAGATGGTTGTCTTCTAAGCGGCCACTTCCTGCAATCAGATATACTCTCTTGGGGGACCTGTGAGGAGGGAACTTGGAAGGAGGGTATGTTGCAACAACGTTGATGCATCATGGGTTTACACTTGGTCATCCTCCTCACCCTCTGCCTCCATCTGTTTCCTCCTCCTCGTTCTCCTTCTCCTCCCTCTCCAACCCCTCCTTCCCTTTGTTATCTTTTCCCCTACCCAGGGAGGGATCCCCATTCGGGTCGGCTCTTGAGCTGGGCTTGAGTGCCAGAGCCGCCCTTGTCTCTTCCTGGGTCCACGACCCTGGCCAGTGATCTTGGATAGTTCAAGAGTGACATCGTTCGCAGCTGGTACATGAGACATGAGACCTGACGCCTTTAGGTCACACAGGACACAGAAATCGAGGGAAGGGAAGCACGAGGATGAGCAGGGGAAGAGCATAAGGATGAACATGGGGAGAAGAGGCAGACGGGGTCTGGAAGTTGAGGGGCAGGCGCTTGGAGGAGGGGGGAAGCAGGAGGTCGAGCTGGAGCGGGAGGAGCACGGAGGAGGGTGCTGAGGAAAATGGGGACGTGGACGAGTAGGAGGAGATGGATCGAGCATTCGAGTAGGAGAGGGAGGGTTCAGACGGGGGGCAGTAAGGATTCTTATGGGGCGGCGGCTGATGGGGACAGCACGAGAGTGGCAGGGCGGACTCACGGGAGGGATCTGGCAAGGGGAGAGACAAGAGGCTTGAGGGCAGCACCGTGGGAAGGTTTCGAGAGGCCCCTCGGCTACGGCCGATTTGCTCGGTAGCCTCGGCTCATCGGTGCTGCCAGTGGCTCTTGTCTCAGGGGTCAGAATTACCTCAGCCACAGTTGGCCGGGAGGCTTGGACGCGTCGGCAGGCTCCTTCGTCGCATGTGCTGCCGATCTGGACGCTCCTGCGCACATGGCCTCCTGTGCTTTCCGCTCTGGCCGAAGATGGCCTCACGAGTGCTGCGCTCCGGGCCACCGGCCCCGCGGTTCCCGGCGGCGCCGCCGCGCACCCGGGCAGGCGCGGCTGCTGAGCGCCGAGCTCTCGCCGTCGGAGTGCTGGCTGGTGCCCGCCGACGACGCCCAGGCTTCCGCTGGGGAGGCGGGCGGGGCTACCGTCGGGAGCTCTGGTCGGAGGTTGATAGACCTCCTACCCTGACACGTCGATTAGCGAGTTGGCCGTCTTCGATTCGCGAGAGGGCGTCGCGGCCGTCATTTTTTGCGGGTCCAGGTCCGTCGGCTTCGGTCATAGGCCGTTTTCACTGAAGGGTGGCTTACTAAAGGGAGGTTTGTCCACCGCCGATTTTGGATAGCGTGTCACTCCGCCAGTTCTGGCCCGCCGCGCTTCGGCGCGACACTCTATCCACTTCCCGGTCCACATGCTTGAATGTCCCGAGCCTTTCCGAGCCTCCCGCCCCGCGGATCGGAGAGACACGCCATCCGCTCGCAAGGCATAGCGTGTCACCGGATCCGCCGCCGCGACACGCAAAGCAACAGTTCCAGACCGTACATTCTCCAGAACCCGCTGGGCTTCAGACATCCCGGCCGTGTCCCGGTCCGACTGTGTCAGCATCCTGGCTTCATCTATAGTCAGGAAGGGGGAAAACAAGCACAGACACAATAGATCGCACGGAGGAGAAAGACGGGAAAACATAGGAAGCGAGGAGAAAGACGAAAGCCCAGAACATATGAGAAAAGATGGGGAATTCTTCTATTTGTGTGTATTGATTGATGTGTCCCAGAGTCCCCTCATATGGGACGCGCGTGGGGGAGATCGCCCGGGTCCCTTGAGGGCGGAGCCGGCGAGGCCGCTGCCTCGCAAGCAGTGGCCGGCGCGCCGCGAGCCTGCTCCGCCAAGCGGCGTCGGGGAGGCATCGGGAGTGGAACCCGTGGGCGAGGGCGAAGGCGAGGGGGGGAGGGGGGCGAGGCCCGATCGAGCTGGGCTTCGCTCGGACGTGTGCATCTTTCTCGCCGAAGCCAGCGCCAGAACATCTGGACCATTTTTGGAGTTTTCCTGGGCCATCGTGAGAAGCAAGCGCCTATGGAAACAGGCACTGCACGGGGAATGGACGCCCGAAAGATGGCAGGCAGGAGGGATCCAGAGTCCCGCTGCCAGAGCAGTGCCGCAGCCACGCGTCGGGGCCGTGTCGCGGGGCCTCCAGGAGTGGCGGAGTCATTGAGGCGCGCCCGCCCTGGCAGCAGGGGATGCAGTCATGGACCTGGGGACTTGGGCCACAGGGGTTATCCGCACAGCACCCCAGCCCCGTTTGCTCCTTCCCTTCCTCTCACACAGACAGTTGGGCCATTGCACCCTTGAGCCTTCGGCGCGAATACCTCATCAGAGGACTCATTAACCAGATTCGCTTGGCAGCTGGTGCGTGGATCACTTCAAGATGACACTTTTTTTCGGTCATGCGTTCTGCGGGAAGACAGGCATGGGCCTGAGGCCAGGGCATCCAGAAGTTTTGGATCGTGATGTGTACGAGGCGTTCTGGAAATGTGCCTCGTCTTCGAGGGTCGAAGGAGTTGCCCTCTCTTTCTCGGCGGAAGGCGGCGGAAGAGATGGCAGCTGTCTCGGGTTCAGGGCTCCTGGAACCCCCGCCATATGTATATAGTGTATAGCGCTTGGGGGATCCTGGGAAGTTGGACTGGGAGGTCCGCGCGCCATTGCGGCTGTCGGCCGTCCACCTGCTCCTGGGGGGCCTGATCAATATTGATGTCCGACAAGCTCACTCTCAAGAGACGCGCTGCCGGGGTACAGTGGCCTCTTCCTCCTCCCTGTCTCTCCCCCCTTCTTTGCTTCACGGTTGTGCTTTATGGAGGTGGCCGTTGAGGCCCCCTAGACTCACACAATTTTGTTGTTCTCTCCTCTTCCTTGTCTCCCCATCGTTGCGTCTTCCTCCTCCCACGTTGTTTCTTCGGCTCAGCAGCATCCGACAAAACTGCCGACATCCTCTCGAGGCCGCTCTCGTGGAAGGTGGTATGCTCCTCCGACTTTTAGTTCCTTTGAGCTTTGCTCGGGGCTCTTTTCTCTTGTGGTCTGCAAGGCAGGCCATGGTCCAGAGGGTGTTCATGGGATGTTCGGTGGAGCGGTACCTGCTCGGTTGCTTGGCACACCTCGAGGTCGAATTATCTTGTGTTGTCCGTTCTACTCATTTGCACTCGGTTTGATAGAGCTGCTGGAGCTGCATATGCTGCTCGGCCTCTTTGTCTTTGCCCGAGGCGGAATTGCCAGTGCCGAGGCACGACCGCCTTGTACCGTGCCGTCTGGGGACCCCTAGAGTGGCTGAAGAAGCCTCCGCGCTCTTAAGCCTCCTGCGGGAGGACAGACTGCACAGCGTACAATTGTACACTCTTGTTAATCTGTAATCCTGTTAATTCGTCCCCATGTTCATACAAACGCACCATGGGATGCACTTACGATTCTTGGTAGTATGCGCGACGGGTTGCACAGTCCACACGGGTTGTATACGATCAGTCAGCCACCAGTGTGTTCGTAAATGCCGCGAGCAATGCGAGCGCACGTGAATGAACACTGGTGTGTCAGTCGTCTGTACGCAAGACTGGCCTCCGGTGCGCAGCGCTCCCGGGGCGCGGGCGTGCCAGCCGCACGACCTCGAGCCGCCGCTGGTCGCACAGTGCTCGGCGGTGTCGGCAGGCCGCGTGCACCACGGGGCCGTGCTCGCCACGGGCCGCCCGCGCGTGCAGTCGCGATCCGGGTAGGGGGTTGCCGAGGTGGTCGTGGAGGTCCGCCGGGGCCGGGGAATTGCCTGCAGAGAGGGATCGGGAGCCTCGAGACGGGGGTCCACGCAGACGGGGGTCCGCCAGAGCGCCCGATCCCGCAGGATCCTGCAGGGCCAGGGTCGCATTGGCCCCGGTTTGGGTGCAGGGTCTTGCAGGATCCTTCGCATTGACCCGGGTTTGGGTGCAGGATCTTGCAGGAGATTGCAGGATCCTGCAGGCCTGACTGACCCGGGTCTGTATCGACCCGGGTCAGAAGATCCCCGAAGGCATCCGGCGGGGAGGTCGGGAGTCATCGTGGACCCAGGGGGATGCAGAGATCCAGAACACTTTCTGCAGATGCACGATGCTGATGCGTGTTCGGCTCCTTGGCTGGCCAGGTGGTCGTCAAAGCTGACGTCGTTTCTTCCGGCGCTTTGCCTCAACCCCATCCCTTGACTCGACTGGTTCGCACCGCGAGGGAATGGGCGGCGTTGTGATGGAGGATACCTCTGCTCACAGGCCGTAAGATTAAGTCGGGCCTGTCCCTTTACAGGGGGAATATTCAAAAATAGTAAAAAATGCTCCGGGGACGATTTTTGAACAATTTCTGCTAATTTTGGTGTGTTTTTTTGGCGGTACTTTTAATTGTGCGCCCAAAATCCCCCTGTAGGGGGACATGCCCGACATCATCGTACCGCGAGGGAATGGACGGCGTTGAACTTGTGGAGGACACCTCTGCTCACAGGCCGCAAGACGGCATGCCCTCGCGGCCCGTCTGGTCGCGGTGCCCGGGCGTCCGCCGTCGTGCGCCTTCGCACGCGCGGCTCCGCGGTGGTCTCCCGGGGGGGGGCCGAGAATCAGAAGGCGAAAGCCCACCCCGCACCCCCAGTCTCAGGTCGGGCACGTCCTCCCACAGGAGGAATGTTCAAACATAATATAAAAAGGTCTGGGGAATATAACAAAGTCCAGCCAAAATACCCCTGTAGGGGGACAGGCCCGACCTAACCCGGCGATGCCAGGGGTCGGGACTGGGAGTGGGGATGGGCTTTCTCGATTCCTTAGACCCCGAAAACCCACCCCCACCCCCAGTCCCGACCCCCTGGATCGCGGGTTCGGGGATGGGCGTCGGGCCTTGGGGTGGGGGTGGGTTCTCGCCTTCTCGTGGTGAGGGGCCGAAGAGTCCCAAACGCCTTCCGCCGTGACCTCTCCACGGCGCGAGGATCTCGGCGCTCGCTGGCGACGTGCACGCTGCACCGCCCACCCGGAGGTGGCGCCAGGGCGGTCGGCCTGCGGGCCCTTGGCCGCCCGCCTGCGCGTGCGTCGCCGCGTGCCTGCGCCTCCCTCCCGCCTTCCCCCCCCCCCGTGTGGCCGGGCAGCGCGGGCGGCCGGGAGCTGGGCTCGAGGGCGCAGGCGGGGCTCAGGAGAGGCGGGGGGTGAGTGCAAGCGGGGTCCGCCAGAGCGCCAGGTCTTGCAGGATCCTGCGGGGCCAGGGTCGCATTGACTCAGGTTTTGGTGCAGGCTCCTGCAGGATTTTGCAGGATCCTTCGCATTGACCCGGGTTTGGGCGCAGGATCTTGCAGGATCCTGCAAGGCCCGACTGACCCGGGTCTGGATTGACCCGGGCCAGAAGATCCTCGAAGCATGTTTGCTCGCTTTCCCTCTGTAGCGTTTGACGATGGACAGTCTTAGCGGAGGTGCAAAAGAGGACCGCGCAGAAGGCCCACACGGGAGGGGCGGGGCGCCCGCAGGACGGCCGTTCCGGGACTGCGGCTTCGACTGAGACGTCCTGACAGTTGTCTCGGGCAGCGTGCTCCCGCCCCCATGCCGGCTACACATATGGTCTGGACGGCCACGACCCTTTGTCGGAGGCTGCCGGAAGGGTTCGTTGGACAAGGTTGGTTTCGCTGGGCTCGAGGTCCCTCCAGCCCGACCTTGGGCACTCCAGCACGACCTGAGGCGCCCCAGCAGCCGTCGAAGTCACTCTTCTTGAGCCAGACCTTCTCGCCGCCCTCGATCTTGCTACAGGTGCACTGCGGTGCACACGGCCGTCATCTCGCCCGTGCCGGCACGTTTTTTCACGAGCCGACCTCCTCCTGCTCCTCGACCCCGCCCGAGATGGCTCTTGGCTGCGGTGAGGTGGCCCTGCTGGGGCCACTGCCCATGTGCTGGTGGAGTCCCTGCCTTGCCTTTTTTGCTGGTGGGGCGTTCGGGGCCGAGTGGGCCCCTGCCTTCCGCGGGGGTGGAGGGACAACGGTCAGAAGGGGGAGAAAAAAACACACAGGCACAATGAGTCGTCGATTCCCCAGAACCTATGGGAAACTATGGGAATTGGATGGGAAGACGCAGATCCAGAACATATGACCAAAAACAGGGGGAATCCTGGGGTTTGTGTGTATTTATTTATGTGTCCCTGGGCCCCTTCAAAGGGGGCGGCGGAGGAGGAGGAGGAGGAGGAGTTGGAGGAAGAGAGGGAGGAAGCAGGGGCGGAGGAGGAGTTGGAGGAGGAGAGGAGGGAGGAAGGAGGGTTAGGAGTCTTCAGAGGGACAAGAGATTTCAACACCAGACCAAACCGCGAAAGTGCTCGTCACCGCAGCGACGACGAGGAGGAGGAGGGAGACAACGTCGACGAGGACGAGGAGGATGAGGAGGACAACGAGGAGGTCGAAGTCGAAGTCGAGGCCGAGGCCAAGAAGGAGGGCGAGGAGGAGGATGGGGACCGTCTTTTCGTCCAGAGTTATTTTCTTTCGCGTCCTCAGGGGCCAGGCGCTGGTTCCCAGAGGCCGAAGACGGCCAACTGATCTCCGCCGTGGTTCGCCCACGGCGCGAGGAGGTCTGGATGTGTCGGGGGAGGAGGAGCAGGAGAAGGGGAAGGGGGAGGCCTGGCCTGCGTTCCCGCCGTCTCCCTTCAGTGCCCCACCACGGTGCTGCCCCCGCCGGCGCCGACGCCGACCCTGCAGCTGGGCGCCCGCGCGGGCCCGCCAGAGGCGCCGAGGGACGTCGGCCGGCAGATGGGCGGGGATGGAAGGGCAGGTTCTGAGGGGGTCGTGGAGACAGGAGTGCTTGGGTTAAGTCGGGCGTGTCCCTCTACAGGGGGCATTTTCAAAAATAGTTAAATTGAGGACGGTTTTTCGACCATGTTTGACCATTTGGGAGTATATTTGGGGTATTTTTGATGTGTCGCCCAAAATCCGCCTGTAGGGGGACATGCCGGGCCTAATGCTTGGGGGAGGTCTGAGAATGGCTTTGTAAGGAGGGAACTGGGCGAGACATCGTCCACTGCCGTCGCAGATTCAAGGTATAACGTGTTCTGTAAATGCTGCATTCTGCCGGGCCAGCGGGCCACTTGAAGAAGGAAGGTTTCGGAGGCATAGAGGTTGGCACTTGTCTTGGACATCCAGGTGTATGCCCGAGGTGATCCAGGCCGCAAGAGGTGTGTGCCTGAGGTGATCCAGGCCACTTGTCTTGGACATTTGTTCTTCTCTCATCCTCCCCCTCCTCTTCCCGTGCCTCATGCCGAGTCTGGTGGACTGGCTAGCGGTGTAAATGTTTGTCCCACCTCTTGTGGCCTCGTCCGCATTGCGACCAGCCCGAAATCGACTTTGATGTCGACTTGATTGGTCTGCAGATCCGACCTCCTCCTCCTCCTCCTCCTCCTCCTCCTCCTCCTCCTCCTCCTCCTCCTCTCCTGTTTAGCTGACGCGCTGTTGGCCAGCTCTGTACCACTTTGTGCCTTTATTTCGCCACCCCTTGACAGATTGGCGCTATGGTGCCACCTTGCCAGGCCCTCGCGGTTCACTGCAGCAAGTCCGATGTCCGACGTCTGAGAGGTTGGTACCAACACCAATAGCGGCGGTTGCTCCCACTGGGGGGAATTTGACCCGATCTCGTGGATGGTGGTAATTCGTACTCGGGCCTCCTGGGTGGCCGAAGTAACCCCACCAGCACCAGAATCTGGGATCATGTTCCCAAGGTGGAGACCCCCCCCAGTGTTTGGTTCAGTGCCAATGTCCAGGCCTCCAGATGTTGGCCGCCATAGGTCAGGAGGGAAAAACACAGGCACAATTAATCGTCGATTCCCCCGAAAATATAGGAAAATATGCGAAGTGGGGGGGAGGACAAACACATAGAAAATGTGGGAAAATATGGGGAATCCTGTTATATGTGTGTATTTATCTGTGTGTCCCAGAGCCCCTTCAATAGGGCAAACAGGTCCCTGGTGTTCTCATGGTTTCTGGCTTCCCGGGGCCGCCCACGGGCTCCGGATTGTCAAACACCGCCTCGAGAGTGGAATCTGGTCTTAAGCCAGGCGTGTCCCGCTACAGGGGGAATCTTCAAAGATAGTGCAAAAATAGTCTGGGGACGATTTGTTGAGTATGTTTTGACCATTTGGGTGCTTTTTCTGATTATTTGTTATGTTTCGTCCAAAATCCCCCTCCAGGGGGACAGGCCCGACTGAAGTCTTGCCCCAGGGAACAGCCCCCAAGGTTGTGATGCTCCAGCCGACTTTCGCCTCGACCACCAGAGAGAATCTCGAGCACCAAGGAAGTACCGAAGCTCGTGGGTTTTCACGTGTCGGGCCCTGGGAGACACTCGTCCGACACTGTTTCGACACTGTTTCGACGCTTTTCCAGGTGCTCGAAATTGTTTCTGGGATTTGGTCCCTAAGTACGATGGGAGCAACAGAACCCCAAGGTCCAGAACCTGTTTTACTAAGGACCCGTTCCTTTCATTCTTTGGTGTTTTCAGTTTTGGTGGGTGCCCAAAAGCTCGTGCTGAATCGTGTCATATTGTTTTCAGGGTGCTCGCGTCGTGTGCTCTTCTTGTGGTCGCAAATTGCGCAATGGCCGATTGGCTTTTGTACAGGTCGGGTGTAATGTTATCCCTTGCAGCACGCTGCTGTGTTCCAGCTCGTGTGGCATTACAGTATGTGATGTTGTGTTCCCGTGCTGTGAGTTCAGCAATTCTATCAAGATGCGATCAATGGCTGTGGAAACGATCTGCGTTACCTACCCAGTGCTATCCTATATCCTAGATGGCACATTGCCTTCGCTGTTCGCCGTCTGGCTCATGTATCCTGCTACAGTAACGTAGGCGTGTATGTAAGTTTGACTTCACGCGTGTATGCTGGAACCGGATATACATACCTACATGCATGCATATCTATATGTACAGATGTGTACACTAGGAGTGTGGAGCAATCGTATCTTGCATATCTACGTTCACGTGTTGAATGCGTGTAGACCGCAAGTCGTTTACATAATCATACATCAGTGCTGGCGCCTCGCGCCATGCATCTGGACCCTTCAAGCTTCGCACGGTTTTCGATTAACTCCATGCACCGTCGCCCTTTACATTTGGCTCGCTCCCCCGTGATATCCTCCCCCGTTTCTTCCTCGGTGTCTTCCTCGTCCGAATGTTTCTCCCGTCTCGCTTTCAAGCATCGGCCCCGGACATTTATTTGGTTGCGTTGTGGCCAGGATGGCCTCTTTGCGACGAGGCGTGTGGGAGACCTGTTGAACAATGTTCAGCCCGCGGCTACGGATTAATGCAATGATGCAGGTGGTTGTCGAGAACGACGGCGCAGGCCCGCCGCCAGGCCCACGTGGGTTCTGAGCGGGGATGGTAGGCCCGCAAGTTGCCGTTGCTTCGGGGTGCCCCTCGAATGGGGGGGCTGTTCCTGGCTTCCGCCAGCTTCCGCAACCTTCTCTCGTCGGAGCCGCATCTGGCACACTGCAGTGCGATTTTCGCTTGGAATTCTCGAGGAGCCCTGGGTTCGCAACGGATTTGTCCAGAATTTGATTGCGAACCCGAGAATATGCTCAAAATGTTGTATTCTAGCCAATCTGGGGGTCGCGGCTGAGACAGGCGATCTGCTGACAATGGGCATGGCCATGAAAGCTTTCGGGAAGTTCTTCTGATGCTCAAGCAGCTTCGTGGGGCAGCTTTCCTATCAACTGGGGCGTGTTCGGGCCCTCTGGGAGGTCTTGAGAGCATTGTGAGTCGTCTTGGGGACCTCTTGGACCGTCATGTGGCCGTCTTGGAAGGTTATGGGCTGTCCTGGAACAGTATTGGACGCCTCTTGGGGCCGTCCTCGAGCGTCGGAAGCACCGAAAAGACGAGCGTGGTCAGAGCAGGGAGAACCTAAAGAAAACCTGCTACTTTTGCGTCTTGGAGTCCTCTGTGGGGGTCCTCTTGGGGCCCTCTTGGGGCGTCTTGGGGGCCTCTTGGGCCGTCTTGAGGCTATCCTGTGCATTTTGCAATGCTCCAAAGCGGTTTGGGGGCGTTTGGGGCAGTCTTGGGCTTCAGTTGATCGTCGTTGTGCTCTCTGGGGGTCTTCTTGGGCCGTCTTGGTGCAATCTTGGGCTCTTCTTGGGCCGTCCTTGAACGTCGGAAGCCCAAGGTCGAGAATGCTCTAAAGTTTTTGGGGCCGTCTTGAGGGTCCTCTTGGGCCGTCTTTTGGTGGCATATTGGGTCCTCTTGAGGGTCCTCTTGGAGCTCTCTTGGGCCTTCTTGGGGGACCTCTTGGGCCATCGTGGGGCCATCTTGGGCGTTTTGGAGCGCTCTGGGGCCGTCTCGCAGCCCTCGTGGACCGTCTTGGGTGCCTTTTGGGATTGCCGCTGGGCCATTGGCACGGCTCGGCAAGGACCACCAGACGCCTGGAATTCCTGGACGACTTTTTCCCAGAGCATCCAGAAGCGGCCCAGGGCCAGGGATTCGGGGTTTCTGTTTGTCCCAACCATCCTGCTGTGCTGGGCTTTTGTTCTTGAGTCAGCAGCACTCGCCTCCTCTCTTCCCCCATCCCCCCCCCCTCCTCCCCCCCCCCTCCCCACCTGCCCCGCCGAAGGTCCCACTGGCTGCCTTCGCGTGGCGTCGCCGCACCCCGTGGGGCTTCGCCGAACGACCTAGCGGCAGGGCCCGCACGGCGGCACCGCGCCGCTTTCGGGACCTTCCTCACGGGTGTCGAGGCCCCATGGGGAGCTCCACGCCCGAGTGCCGGCGACCGCATGCCGGCACCGCCCCACTTTGGCGCACCGTTCGCACGCTTCGTGGCCCCATCGGGAGCTCCACCACCGGCGACAGGGCCAGCGCCCGCACCGCCCCAGTTTGGCACACCCGTTTACAGGCTTTCGGCCCCGTTGGCCATAAGGAAGTCCCCCTCCTTCGTCTCACCTACCTTGCGGTACTCACGCCGGCACATGGTTCGGTCTTTCGCCGGGCAGGTTTTCCGCAGGGTCTGGTATCTGGAAGTACAAGCACAGAGTGCGAACGTGACGATGTATCAGAATGAGGGGGCCGAACGATCATTCATTGTCCCTGGGTGCGGCGTGGCTGAAGCAGGGATCCGTGGTGAGGATTATGCTTGTTGCGTTGTCGTTGTTGTTGCTGTTGTTGTTGTTGCTGTTGTTGTTGTTGTTGTTGCTGTTGTTGTTGTTGATGATGAACACTCGTTACTGAAGAATCATTTTTGTTGATCCCCCCCTCCGGTGCACATTGTTTTTTCAATTGAAGTGGCCCTCTTGGCGCTCGAACCGTTTTTTCGAGGCTCAAACTGTGCCCCTGGCCACCAGGTTACAACAACGGCTCCCGCCTGAGACCTCCTCACAGTTTAGCCATGACCCCCGCTCCCGCTTGAGGCGTCCACGCATTTTATTCAGGAATCGCGCTCTCGCTTCGGATTTCCTTACAATTTATTAAGGAATCGCTCTCTCGGCGCTCTGGAGTCGCGCTCTCGCTGGAGACTTGCTTGCCATTTACTCAAGAATAGCGCCCTTGCGTTGGATTTTTTCAATTTGCTCAAGCGCCGCGCTCCCGACACTCAGGCACCCAGGAGTCGCGCTCACGTTTCGGGCTCCCTCCCAGATTATTTAGGAATCGAGATCTCGCTGCCCCTCGTGGCCCCGTAGCAGCCCTTCGTGGCCCCCTCGCTGCCCTTCGTGGACCCGTTGCAGCATTTCGTGGCCCCCTCGCTGCCCTTCGTGGCCCA